CGCAGATCCACCTCCCCGAGGAGGGGAGGAAGGGGTCACCAAGAGCAATCTCCCAGCAGAAGAGGGTCGAGAAACCGAGTCCAATCCAGGAAAGAGAACCAAGCTCAATTCGCTGGAAGCCAGGTCATCAGGGAAATCGATACCATCATCGGGGGACCCCACGTCGGTGGCAACACCAGGAATGCCCAGAGAAATTATACAAGAGAAGCCAAGGGTCCCCCAATGATCACCTACATTGTCGACGAATCAAAAACAGCAAACAAGATGGCCCCAATCACCTTCTCGCAGGAAGACGCAGAGGGAGTTCACCATCCCCATTGCGACGCTCTGGTTGTAAGGGCCGTAGTGGCTAGAAACGGACTACTTGTTCGGCTCCACTTTTGACAAAATGCAAATTGAACATGGGTTAATCCCCATGACCGACCCGCTGTTCGTATTCACTTGGGACAGCATCATCCCACGAGGGCGGATTACCTTGCCTGTGGAAATGGGTTCGGCCCCCCTGGTCGCCCAGCATTTCATGGAATTTCTGGTGGTAGATCATAGGTCGGCTTATCATGGGGTGTTGGGCAGGCCGGCTCTAAAAGACCTTTGGGCTGTGACGTCCATTCACTATCTGTGCATGAAATTCCCAACCGAACGAGGGATTGCAACGGTTCGGGGCGATCAGATGAGCTCTAGGGCATGCTACCTGAACTCGCTACGAAAATCGGAGCCCCGGACTGTCAATGTAATTCAAGCAGTACCCGCTGAAGCCGGTACGGATGTGGAGATGCTCGACGCCCCTGAACAAGGGCATGCCTCTGAACAAGAGGAAGATGTCATAATGGAAGAGGCTCCTGAACAAGGACACCCTCTTGACGAGTTAGATCCCCGAATAATTGATTATGAACCAAACGCGACCCCAATGGAAGAACTGGAAACTTTTCCAGTCAACCCAGAAGACCCCAATCAAGTCTTGCGCATAGGGAAGTCATTATCGCCTGAAGCAAGAATTGAGATGATACGATTCCTGAAAGAAAACCTAGATGTCTTCGCATGGAAACATGAGGATATGGTGGGGATAGACCCCAGGATCAGTTGCCATCACCTTAACATCAACCCCTCCTATGCCCCCCATAGACAGAAGAGACGCGCGCTGAATCTGGAACGGTACGAGGCACTGAAAGATGAAGTAAGCAAACTCGACCGCAGTGGTTTCATCAGAGAGGTCGTATACCCGAAGTGGATATCCAACCCGGTTCTGGTGAAAAAGTCCAGCGGAAAATGGAGGGTCTGTGTGGACTTCACAAACCTGAATAAGGCATGCCCCAAGGACAGCTTCCCACTCCCAAGGATTGACCAACTGGTCGACTCCACTGCTGGGCATGAACTACTTAGCTTCATGGATGCGTGCTCAGGGTACAACCAAATACCCATGTTCCGACCTGACGAGGAAGCTACATCATTCATCACGGACAGGGGGCTGTATTGCTACAAAGTCATGCCCTTCGGATTGAAAAATGCCGGGGCCACATATCAGAGGTTAGTCAACATGATGTTTGCCGAACTCATTGGCAAAACCATGGAGGTCTACGTGGACGACATGTTGGTCAAAAGCCTCCAGGCGGCCGAACACGTGAGTCACATTGACCAAGCCTTCCAGACACTCAGAAGGTACAATATGAAGTTGAATCCCCTCAAGTGCACTTTCGGAGTGGCGTCGGGCCAGTTCTTGGGATACATTGTAAATCAGAGAGGAATTGAGGCAAACCCGGCAAAGGTGGCGGCTATAATAGAAATGAGTTCACCTCAGAAACCGAAGGAGGTCCAAAGTCTCAATGGCCGGATAGCCGCCCTCAGCCGCTTCATCTCCAGAGCCACTGATAAAAGCTTGCCCTTCTTCAAAGTATTGAAGCAAGGAAAGAGATTCCAGTGGACTTCGGAGTGCCAAGAGGCCTTCGAGTCCCTGAAGAAGCACCTCGGTGAATCGCCCCTCCTATCGAAACCCCATCCAGATGAATCTCTGTTACTATATCTAGCAGTGTCAGACGTGGCAGTCAGCGCGGTTCTAACCAGGGAAGAAAACGAGCGTCAATTGCCGGTATATTACATCAGCAAAGCACTTCTTCCAGC